TTTATTGTGAGTGCACACAAATAAACGTAGAGTCTTTACAGATTCGAAAGATGTATTACTCTTATCTGAATGAGAAAAAATGAGTATTTTAAGAGCGAGTGAGCACCGGCGCCTCCATCTGTCCTGCAGTGAGCTACTGTTCAGCTTCCACACAGACACTTTAATAGTGCACATTTCTCTAGGTTAACATCAGATTGAGTGGCCATGTAAAGTTGCTAATACTTACATATATCAGATGATAAGCCATATTTGAGGTGGATGTACTGTATTACCACATAGACCAGCCATTAACGATCTGTCCATCATGGACTACGTGACTTCGCCTGTGGATTTTTTTTTCTGCAACTAAGCGACTAATAAAATTTTGGTCGACCAAGCCTCCTCTGGTCGACTAACGATTAGTCGACTATTAGGGGGCAGCCCTAGTAATCAGCCATTGTTATGATTGGCTAATGTCATTGCATAGGAAACAGTATCAACGCCCCCTTGCTATTGCATGTGAGTGTTTTGAAAACAAAATCAAAATAAAGCAGTCATTTCCAGACAAAGCATTATGAAATCATGTACTTACAGTTTGTGAAGCAGCTGCAGTCAGATCTAGTGCCGCTTCATCTTTCAACAGATGTTTCTTTGTGATTCTCCCTGACACTGTGCCTCGATTACAAAACAAAATCCTCCAACACGATCCGGGACGCCATTAAAAATAAACTATCCTCTTGTTCCTTACGCTGGGCTCCTTCTGATATCTGTACAAAGACGTGAACGAGCTGTTTAAACCAAACGCGTCAAAGCGAATGTTCTTTCACTGCATTTGTCCTGACGACAGACTATATATATACTGTATACTGTATCCAGTGTAGATAAGATTGAAAAAGAGTGAAAAAAAAAAGATGGCGCCGGTGGGGTAGGCTGCCGTCACGACTGCTCCGACCACTGTTTGCTTCTTTGCATTTTTTGCATTTTTAAGTTATTTTAATCTTTTTATTTTTCATCATGGTTATTATTACCTATGACAAACATACTCTTGTCTCTATTGGTCTACAACTTACTCATTCTCCATCGTTTTTAACACCGGACCCAAATTGACCGAGCGAGATTCTAAGGGAGAACAAAGGACTAGATCTGAAACGGCGGCCCCATGGGAAACGAGCTGGCGTTAGGAACAGGTTGAGGTCTCGCGCTCACCACGCTCCCCTGCCTAGCATTCTGCTGGCCAACGTGCAGTCATTGTAGAACAAGCTAGATGATCTTAGGGCCAGGATTAAGTTCCAGGGGGACATTAGAGACTGCAACCTCCTCTGCTTCATTGAGACATGGCTGAATCCAGCGATACTGGATCATGTGATCCAGCCGGCCGAGTTTTTTTTGGTTTTTCGCATTGACAGAACAATGGAGTCAGGGAAGTCAAAGGGAGGTGGTGTGTGTTTCATGGTAAACAACAGCTGGTGCTTTCTCAAGCGTTCCTGCTCACTCAACTTGGAACTTTTGACCATCAAATGTTGCCCTTTCTACCTTCCTAGGGAATTTACCTCAATCATCGTCAGTGCAGTTTATATTCCACCTCAGGCGGATACGGGCACTGCTGTATGGGAATTACACGAAGCTCTCACTGATTATCAGATCCATCACCAGGATGCTGCACTTATTGTACTGGGGGATTTTAACAGTGCTAACCTCAAACGCGCAGAGCCAAATTTCCATCAACATATTACATGTCTTACATGAAGTAATACAATTTTGGATCACTGTTACACTGCATTAAAAGGAAGCTACAAGGCACAGTCTCTACCACCGTTTGGGAAATCGCATCATGTTTCCATTTTTCTCATGCCACAATATAAACAGAGACTGAAACAAGTCACTCCAGTTCAAAGGGAGGTCGCGCGCTGGTCGGACCAATCAATAGCCACTTTGCAAGACGCTCTAGATGATGTAGACTGGGACATGTTTCGGCGCAGCTCTGACAACATCAACATGTTTACGGTTGTGGGACTCATCGGGAAACTGGTGGATGATACAGTCCAAAAAATTACCATCAAGATATTTCCCAATCAGAAGCCGTGGGTGGATAAAACCATCCGTGATGCCCTGTCATCCCACACTGCTGCTTACAAAGCGGGGCTTGCTACCGGGAACATGGATGAGTACAAGATTGCGTCTTTCAATGCGCGCAGAGTGGTGAAGGAGGCAAAGCGGCGCTACGGTAAGAAAGTAGAGTCACAGTTTCTTCAAGGTGACTCTAGAAGTTTGTGGTTAGGGCTGAGAACGATAACGGACTATAAAACACCAGCCCACGTGATCACGAAGACTGACGCTTCTCTTGCAGATGAGCTAAATACTTTTTATGCTCGTTTTGAGGCTGCATATCACTGTGCTAACGGTGCTGTTGGCGCAAATAAGAACCAAGACTGCATACAGGCGGAGAGCACAAATGCAGAAAAAGCGTTCATCATTACAGAGGGTGAAGTGAGAAGGGTTTTCCAGAGAGTGAACATAAGGAAGGCAGCAGGACCAGATGGAATCTCAGGTCGGGTCCTTCAGGCTTGTGCAGACCAGCTAGGACCAGTGTTCACTGAGATATTCAATCTCTCCCTGGATCAGTCGGAAATTCCCACATGCTTCAAACAGTCCATCATTGTTCCTATCCATAAGAAATCCCAACCCTCTTGTCTTAATGACTATCGCCCTGTAGCATTGACCTCAATTGTAATGAAGTGTTTTGAAATACTTGTTAGAAATGTCATCACCTCCATGCTGCCTGACACCCTAGTTTCCTTACAGTTTGCCTATCGTCCAAACCGCTCAACTGATGATGCCATTACACATCTCCTCCACACAGCCCTAGATCATCTGGACAAAAGGAGGGGGAATTATGTTAAAATGCTGTTTGTTGATTACAGTTCAGCTTTTAACACTATTATTCCCTCAAAACTAACATTAAAGCTGGAGAACCTAGGATTTAGCCCAACCCTGCGTCAGTGGATCTACAACTTTCTATCTGACAGGCCACAAGCAGTAAGGGTGGACAGACAGATCTCATCCTCACTCACCCTCAGCACAGGAGCACCCCAGGGGTGTGTTCTAAGCCCTTTGTTGTACTCGCTGTACACATATGACTGTGTTGCCACTTCAGACTCCACAAACATCGTCAAGTTTGCTGACGATACTGTTGTGGTAAGCTTGATCTCTGATAATGATGAGAGAGCTTATCTGCAGGAGATTAAAAGAATGGAGGACTGGTGTCAGGAGAACAACCTTCTTCTGAATGTCAGCAAGACAAAGGAGCTGATAGTGGACTTCAGCACAAAACAGGTGAGGAGCTACCAACCCACTATAATCAATGGGGCTTCTGTGGAGAGAGTAGATAGCTTTTGTTACCTTGGAGTCCACATCTCACATAAACTGTCATGGACAAATCATATCACCACCTTGGTGAAGAAAGCCCGTCAGCGTCTTTACCACCTTAGGCGCTTAAAAGACTTTAAAATTTCCACCAAAGTGCTAAAAAAAAGTCTACACCTGCACTATTGAGAATATCCTGACAGGAAACATCACAGCCTGGTTCAGGAACAGCACAAAGCAGGACAGATGGGCTCTACAGAGGGTGGTGCAATCAGCTGAGCGCATTATTCGCATTGAACTCCCTGACCTGGAATCCATCTACAGCAAACGATGCTGTACCAAAGCCAGGAAGATCATGAAGGACCTCAGCCATCCTAACAATGGTCTCTTTTCTCTGTTGAGGTCAGGGAAATGCTTTCGCTCCATGATGACTAAAACTGAGAGAATGAGGAAAAGCTTCTTTGCACAGGCTATCCGTGTCCTGAACCAGGACAATGCTAACAAGATTTAGTTGCACTATGCAACACCATATTAACATTATACTTCTTTTATTATTGCATACTGCACAAGCATATTTGCACTTTACTGCACATACACATACTGTCAGACTGTTGCTGCTACCATCTCTGTACCCAAAGTATTCATTTACATCTTTTTTGTACATATAGTCTAAGCATTTTTACTTGGTTAAATAATTTTTATTGCTGTAAATTTTAGTAATCTGTATATTCTTCTTATTTATATTCTTTATTGTTGTAATTTCTTAGTTTAATTTCTCTTTATAGTAATTTGTAATTCTATTCACTATTCAACTATTTCTTAGGATACAGTTTTTCTTTCTCTTTTTATTACTACTTTTATAATATTTCTATTTTAATATATAGTCTATTGCACTGCATTCTGTGTGGAGAGCCGTACCAAGCATTTCACTACGTCGTACTGTGTATGATTGTGTATGTGACTAATAAAATTGAACTTGAATTGAACTTGAACTTGATTGTCATTTCTATTTGCTTTTGACGCGACGCGACACTCGCATTCAGCATGATCAAGTGTTAGCCGTTAGCAAGTGAACGCCAGTGGGCGGAGCCTATGCTGAGAGGAAGACTATTCGTCGATGTCTTGCTCTGGAGGCGTGTTTATGCAAATGTTTGTGCCCCTGTGACATCATCTTGCACCTCAGATCCAAAACAAGCCATTTTCTGAGGGTTGTTACATAAACGCTTTTTTATTGATGATGAGGACATTTTAAATTATGAAACTTGCAGGATGTTTTAAGCATACAAAGACCTCCTCTGTGTCAAAAGATAAAGGCAAATTTGGTTTATCATGTCATGACCCCTTTAAGAAGAAGAGCCAGCCATGAATCAGTCTAGTTGTTTGTTTTAAAGAAACAGTATCCTGATGTTCCTCCTACCAAAGATATTGGGTTTTTGTTCATCCAAAAGCATCATGTTTTTTTGGTTAGATGTGTTTTCTAGAACATTCCACTGCAATGTGAATGAGCTGCAGGCCGATGATTTTGTTCCGTTGGGCTGACGGTGTCTGTTCCCGCAGGTACGTTCTGGATAATCAGTACACCAGCTCCATGGGCTCCAGGTTCCCCGTCAAATGGTCGCCACCTGAAGTTCTTCACTTCAACAAGTTCAGCAACAAGTCAGACGTCTGGTCATTTGGTGAGGACTGGAGGTCAGAGGTCAGGGCTCATGTGTGTGTGTTATGGGTGTGTGCTAATGCATGTGTGTTTGTGTGAACAGGCGTGCTGATGTGGGAGGTTTTCTCGGAGGGAAAGACACCATTTGAGAACTGCTCCAATCTGGAGGTGGTGGAGAAGGTGACACAGGGCGGCCGTCTCTACAGGCCTCACCGGGCATCTGCGCACATCTACAACATCATGTACCGCTGCTGGCATGAGGTGAGACACACACACACACACACACACACACAGTTCACAATCCATACACCACACATCTACACAGATTACCCATGATTTACAGTCTATGATAGATTATGAAAGTCACTTAGTCTGCAGATTTGAGTTGACAGATTTCTCTGATCTTCAAGTCAAGTCACCTTTATTTATATAGCGCTTATAACAACACATAGTGTGTCAAAGCAGCTTTACAATATTAAATAGGAAAATAGTGTGTAATAATGCAAAAGGACAACAGTAAAGACTCGATTTTCAGTTAAAGGCAATTCATCATTGAATTCAGTGATGTCATCATCCAGCTCAGTTCAGTTTAAATAATATCTGTGCAATCAAGTCGTTGATATCGCTGGAAATTAAGTGTCTGTGATCGATATGATACCTCTTCATTCACTGCTATGAATTGATGACGGTCAGATAGGTATGAATTGAACCATGCCAATGCACTTCCAGTAATGCCAACATAACCTTCTAGTCTATTCAAAAGAATAGACTAGAAGCGCTGGGGTTGTGGTCGATAGTGTCGAACGCAGCGCTAAGATCCAGTAGCACTAATAGAGAGATACAACCACGATCAGATGATAAGAGCAGGTCATTTGTAACTCTAATGAGAGCAGTCTCAGTACTATGATACGGTCTAAATCCTGACTGGAAATCCTCACAGATACCATTTTTCTCTAAGAAGGAATATAATTGTGAGGATACTACCTTTTCTAGTATCTTTGACAGAAAAGGGAGATTCGAGATTGGTCTGTAATTAACTAATTCTTTTGGGTCAAGTTGTGTTTTTTTAATAAGAGGCTTAATTACAGTTTGAAGGTTTTTAGGGCATATCCTAATGACAATGACGAAATTTTTTACAGTCAGAAGAGGATCTATGACTTCTGGAAGCACCTATTTTAGTAGCTTAGATGGAATAGGGTCTAACATACATATTGTTTATTTAGATGATTTAACAAGTTTATACTTGTTAAATCTATAAATTCTTCTATATACAAATCTATTCTTCTTCTATAGTAAAGAAAGAGTGGAATTGTTCCTCATGGGATCTATAGCACACTGTGTGATGCGCTACTATAGCTGACGGCTGCATGGTTACAATTGTATCTTTAATAGTATCGATCTTGGAAGTAAAGTAGTTCATAAAGTCATTACTGCTGTGCTGTTGGGGAATGTCAACACTTGCTGATGCTTTTATTTTTTATTTTAGCCACTGAATTGAATAAATACCTGGGGTTGTGTTTGTTTTCTTCTAAAAGAGACGAAAAGTAATCAGATCTAGCAGTTTTTAAGGCTTTTCTGTAGGAGAAGGTACTTTCCCGCCATGCAATACGAAATACCTCGTATTACTCATTGTGCAGCTCGCGAGCCTCATGCGGCTCGTCAAGCTTTACTTTGTGGCTTGCATGGCAGTAAATAATACGATGACATGATCATGCAGTCAATACAGATATTTCATAAAAACATTAAAAACAAGCAGGGCTATAGCATAACCCATTAAAAAAACTCACACCATGTCTACACTGTACACGAGTGTCATGATCCGACAAAAGACAATAGAACCCAGTGATGTTGTCTACACTGGATGCGGCGCGATGCGACACAATCCCCATCAGTAAACTGATGCCTCATTCTATTTATTACGAACTGTACTATTCTGTTCAGATGATTTGCAACTGTCACTTTGTCGCGTAAAGTGTAGAGAGACTTTTAGCGCAATGGAGCGCGGCACGACAACTGTCGCGTCCGGAGTAGACACAGTCAGACAGTTTCTGCTCTATTACAAATCATTTATATATATTTTTAAAAATACCTAAAACAGCGGCATTACAAGATGGAAACATAGACTAGAAAAGATATTTACACTTGCTCTGTCCTACGTCCATGACACTGACTTACTGCGGAGTTGCCAGTTTTAATCTTAACAGCTCTTAACGCCGAATGTGCACTTGGATGGTTAGCCTACATGATGGGCTAGTATAAAAAATAAAAATAAAATAAGGTCTTTCCAGCATTAAGGTAATCCTGCTTTTTTTTTTAAATCATCTTGTTTCAGTTACAAATTTGACTGGTAAATGATAAAGAATGATAGTCCCTTTTGTATTGCATTGCATTGCATATCAGGGATGACAGATTGATAAAAAGACATGCTATTTATGACTGGATGTAACTTTTGATACTTCACAGTAAAAGTGGCTCTCCGATTGACTTTGCCCTATCGTTGCGGCTGCCATGAATAAAATAGCGAAGACCACTGTCGTGTTGCATACTCTGATTACATCCAGTTGGAGAAGATCAAACATGCTTGGTGTTTCGTTTAGTGTACAATGCCCAGTTTTTCTCTGCAACCATTTACAAAAGTAAATGCATGATGCCTAGTGTCCATCACTGATGTCATCACAGCACTCAGAATTATTACGTGTGTGTTTCTTGTTTTCAGAGACCTCACGGACGACCACCTTTTTCTGAGCTACTGCAGAACATCAGACAGATCACTGAAGAGGAGACAGACACATGAACACAAACACACACACACACACACACACACACACACACACACACACACACTCACACTCACACACGAGCTCAGAAAACGGGAGGACTGTTGAGGATGTCTGTTGATCTTCAGCATGAGTTGATGTGTGTGTGTGTGTGTGTGTGTGTGTGTTTGATGAACTGACATCTTATAGTCATAAGTGAGATGTTTTATATATATATATATACACTGTAAACATGCAACTTCATGTCAGTCTGTAAGCATCTGAGGACATGAATAAAGACGCTCACCATGGGAGGCGCTGTCACTGTGTGTGTGTGTGTGCCTTAACTCAGCTGTGTAAAGATGCCTATAAAATTCTCAAAGTTTATTCTGACTTTGTTGACAAATGAATTGAACAGGTGTTCTCAAGCAGATCTAATTACCTTGAAGAGACAGATGGAAAATCTCCTGGTGAAGATGAAGCGTTTACTTCACAAGTGAATGAATCTTTAACAGCACAGGACATGATTACACAGAGATCTTTTCACAATAACAAGAAATCAGCGCTGGCCAGGAATCATCTGACCGCTGAATCAGAATCAATCATGCCAGAGAGTCGTGTAAGAGATTAGAGAGAAGAAAAAGCACTGAATAATTCATCTTCAATACTATTTGAGTTATTATTCAGTGCTATCATTGATTTGACTGCACTGACATTATTGGACAAGAATAAACAAAACTTGAATTGAACTGATCTGAATGATGACTCTATTGTCTTCTGGAGCTGCTTTACAGCTGAATTGAACTTGTTTCATAAACGTCGAGCTTTACACAGTTACTGAACTGAATCTAAACTGAATTCTTAGAAATGCTTTACAGCAGAATTTGTCTCATATTTGATTAAATTTACATTGTTGTTTTTCTGTATTGTAAAGCACTATAGGCTACAAATTGAATCTATTCAATTCAAAATTGCTTTATTGGCATGACTGTAAATGATACAATATCGCCAAAGCTTCGTATACATGTACAAAAAGATAAAAAATAATAATATAATAGTAATAATTAAATGAACATCACAGTAATAGAATGGAATATTATAACATCTTGTGTGTGTGTCAGTGTGTGAGAGAGATGGTGATGGAGAAGCCGAGCCCCCTGCTCGTAGGATGTGAGTTTGTGCGGCAGTACTACACGCTCCTTAATAAAGCACCGGATTACCTGCACAGGTGAGTTGAGAACGGTCAGAGCAGCAGGTGTAAGCGACGCGCTCGGCTCACGGTGTGTGTGTGTGTGTGTCGAGCAGGTTTTACGGCCGGAGCTCCTCGTATGTTCACGGCGGTCTGGACGGCAGCGGGAAGCCGGAGGAGGGGATGTTTGGTCAGGCGGTGAGTGCTCCAGCCGTCTTCAGTTCTGTGTCAAACCCTCTCCTGTGTGAGGAGAGCCGTCTGGGACACTATCTGTGAATCCTGAAGTGTCCTCTGATCCTACGCCGCCATACGGCCGATCACTGACCAGTGCGATCAAGTTTAACCTCCGTGTCTGACAGATTTACAGGGTTTCTGCAGGTCTTACAAAGTCTTTAAGGACTAAAAAAAAATTTTAATCAGACCACAAAGCTTTAAAGTTGATATGATTCTTCTTCAATTACAGTGCAAAAGCTGATTTTCTTCCTTAATATTTTGTTTTGTTTTCTAGTATAAATATCTACAAATACTGGAATTAAAATGCATTTACTTGACATGTAAAATGACCTAAGATATATTGTCTTATTTTCAGAAAAAAATATCCAAATTTTGTTAGTATTTGCTTAAAACAAGCAAAAATATCTGCCAATGGTGTAAGAAAAATAATGTTCTTTAGCCTTTGAATTAAGATTATTTTTCTTACACCATTGGCAGATATTTTTGCTTGTTTTACAGAAAACAAGACATTTCTTAAGTCATTTTACTTGTCAAGTAAATGCATCTTAATTCCAGAATTTGTAGATGTTTATACAAGAAAACAAGACAAAAATACTAAGGAAGAAAATCTTTTTTGCAGTGTAGCTGGCTATCTACATAGAAACCAGCTGTAAATTGAAACGGCTCGCTGCATGACAGTTTCTGATTCAGACGGACTGTAACGAAGTGGCTGTGTGTTTTCTTTTCAGCTTTTCTGAGCGGGCAGACACGCCAGAACCCCAACTAAATGCAAAAGAAAAAAGCTAAAAGAGGCTCAAATTTCATCTGACGTCCCCTTTAAATTCACAAAGTTATGGCTTCATGCACTGTAAAACAGAAATATCTCTCGCTCCACACACATTGTCTTCCGATTTTTCTGTTTGAGACAATAAATGCTCTTGTTTTTAATTCTGCATGTGATGCGGCTCACTGTCACTGATCGATAATGTAAAACTCAGATGAATCTTCTTGCACGTGTCCGTTTTTAACGAGTGTGACATAGGCATATGATGGTATCAAATTTTCATGTTGCGATTTAATTGCTAATGCTTCTATCACGGTATACAGTATTATCACGATATTGAAATTTAGTTGCAAAAAAGTGTTGTCATAATAAAGTATAACAGGTTTAATAACTTTTTTCTTATTACAAAAAGAACTGAACATTTAAATACAATAAAGCAATACACAAAGATTCTCACAGATTAAAGGGCAAAAGAATGATAAAGACCAATAGGTAACACTTTACAATAAGACCTCATTAGTTAACCTTAGTTAATGCATTAATATTAACAATGAGCAATAGCTACATTTGCTACAAAAGTTATTAATCTTTGTTGAAAAATAAAACTGTTAGTTCCAGTAGCTCAAGTTCATTAAATAACAGAGTGTGATATTAAAATTAATGAATGTTTAGAAGAATTTTTCATTGGCAGTTTAACTTATGAATTAACTTATGTTAACTAATGGAGCCTTAATGTAAAGTGTGACCAGCAAAGAATCAAAACATTTTCAAACAATATCTAGAGCATGTTGTAGTCCAGATTAAAATGTAAAAAAAAAAAAAACCTTTGAAAATAGCCTATTAAGTCTAAATATTTAAAGAGTTCACCCAAAAATGAAGATTCTGTCATTAATTACTCACCCTCATGTCGTTCCAAACCCGTAAGACGTCCGCTCATCTTCTAGCGACTCATCTTCATTTTACGAAGCTAAGAGAATACTTTTTGTGCGCAAATAAAACAATAATAACAATTTATATAACAATTCTTCTCCCTGAGTTACTGTCTTCCGCCATTTAGGAGAGTACTCCAGAACGCAATCAACGTAATCAGCGTCGTTTACGTTCAGTAGAAAGAGCGCGTTTTATCCTGAACGTAAACAACGCTGATTACGTTGCTTTAAATCCTTTTCAGAAACGGAAAGTAGCAGCTGCTTTGTTTACGGGGTTTCGGGGGTAACGGCTGCATTTCTGCTGCTCCATCAGCGCCATCTGCTGTCAGAGAGTGAATGTGCTTTCATCCGCACTTGTTTACATGAGTGCACACACGTCTTTAAGCAGCATGCAGCAGTGTTGTGCATTTAACCATCTGATGGGAAAAGTATTCTTAAAATGCATTCTGAATAATAAATGTATAATTAATAATTATTCACAGTACTTTGAGGTGCCCCCGATAACAATATCGTGCATGTTTATTATGGTGATATATCGCACGCACACGTCTAGTCTGACATTGCATTATGACGTGGCTTATAGCTGAGATCATGTTCGTACAGTCTGAACACTGAACATAGCACCAGTGACTGACAGGAGTGTGTGTGTGTGTGTGTGTGTGCGCAGGAGATCCATAAGAAGGTGATGTCTCTGCAGTTCGGCGAGTGCCACACTAAGATAAGGCGCGTGGATGCCCATGCCACGCTGGGGGATGGGGTGGTGGTGCAGATGATGAGCGAGCTGTCCAAGAGCGGCCGGCCCATGAGGAGGTTCATGCAGATGTTTGTGCTCGTTCCGGAGGTGAGTGTGTGTGTGTGTGTGAAACGACTAGGGTTGGCTATGACAAGTCTTGGTTAGCCTAACGCGGTACACTTAGCAAGGTGTTTTCACCAGGGCTATTCTGTCAATAAGTTCTATGTGCACAATGACATCTTCTGCTATGAAGAGGAGGTGTTTGGAGACTCTGAGGCTGAGCTGGGAGGTAAAACTACAGAACACACACATGTTTACATGGCAGACGTGTTATTTAGGTCTAATGCATGTACATGATTACAGCTGTGGCGGTCTGGCTTTACATGGCATTGCATCTTTACACATCATATTATGAGCTCTTACATTTGTGGATGGGAAACTGAGTCGCTGTGATACAGATATCTGATAATTAAATGTCAAAAAGCTCTGATTGAAGTAAATAAATGTGAGGGCTGCACGTTTCAGTGTTCAACAGGAATGCGTTTCAGAGCCGCTCACAATCAGTGAATATCACATTTATGAAGCACCACTGATGAACTGACAGTGTTTACGCTATGGTTTTTATATTATAATTTGTTGTAGATGGATGTAAGATGCATATTTTATGTCATATATTACCTGTTTAAATGAGCAGCTGGAAGTAGTAAAGCAGAGAAATTTCAAAATAAGAGTCCTATGCATTTTGGACTCCTTTATGATTAATAGACCCTCATTATACATAATATACTTTTATGTTTGTTTATTGTTGATATTTTGTTTTGCAAGAAAGTACTGGTTCAGTCTTTTTACTACATTTAATTTTAATACGTTTAATTCACCGTGTTGACGTTTCTTTGTAATTGTGAAATTTACTAGCAATTTCTGAGTGAAAATTGCCACCAATTTTTTTTTCAGTGCATAGAAATTTCAAAATAAAACTCCCGTGTATTTCAGGATAATAATTAAAAGTCCCTCATTATGCATAAAATCTTTCTTTCCTGGCTATTGTTGGTATTTTGGTGACACAATAAGCAGTATCTTGCATTTAAATCAACATAAACTCTTGTATTTTCTCTCTGAACCGTCCCATCACAGGAAAGACTAAGAATATTATCTAACACATTCAGTTTATTGATTTTATTAGTATCAGCACAATAATCTTTCGATTGCCTTTCTTTAATCACACTATCATATCCGTAAACTCCAGTATTGATGGACCTCTAGTTCGTGTGTTTTGATATATGAGAATGTAAACCAGTTTCAGTACATGTAAATATTGAATAAACAGTGGGTTTAGAGTGTGTGCGCGTGTGTGTGAGTGTGCGCGTGTGTGAGCGTGTGTGTATGTGTGTGTGTGTGTGTGTGTGAGAGTGAGTGTGAGATGAGTGTGAGTGTGTGAGCGTGTGTGTGTGTGTGTGGGTGCGTGCGTGTGTGTGTGTGTGTGTGTGCATGTGTGTGTGTGTGTGTGT